GCAGCTCGGAGCCTGGAGCCTACTTTGGATTCTGTCTCCCTTTCTCTCTGTCCCTCCGCTGCTTGTGCTCTATCTCTCTCTCTCTCTCTGTCAAATGTGAATAAACATTAAAATTTGTTTTTAAATAGCTGCCCTTTATAAAGTAGCTGCTATGGGACAGACGGATGGCACACAGTGGTTCATCTTCTCCTGTCCCTGTGCTGCAGATGAAGAGAGAGAGAGACTTGAAGAAGTTGCAAGTCCCCGGCCACTCGGCCAGTGATGGCGAAGCTTGGCCTCTGATCTAATTCTGCCGAGACTCCTAAGCCTGCACTCTCCCGATACACCCCTTTGCCTCTCCATCCACCTTTCTACACAATCCAGGAAACATACACGGGGAGAACCAGTGGGATGATATCAATAGGTGTGAAAACGCTTTAAAATGGTTTTCTTTCTCGAAGCTGATGGCACAAACGAAAACCCGGCTCTCATGTCAGAGGCAGGGCCTTACCTGCGGAAAGCCCGTACTGGATGGATGTTGGGTATTAAGCCGACTGCATCCAGCCTGTGTGATATAGCTTGATTTTAAATTACTTTGATTGCTAATCATTTTATTTTACTCTTCTCAGATGCTTTGCCTTTGAAAAATGCCTCCAGCCCGATTCATTACGAATTTTAATGTGTGTCCTCCTCTCCTTGGGCAAGGTTTGCTATCCTAGAGTGCTTCCTTCTAGCATCTAATGGTGGAGTTCGGGGGGGGGGGGGGTTGAGGGAACTTGTGTCTGTCACTCGGAATTCTGGCCACAAAGCTGACAATTAATTTGACAAGTTGGCTGAGAAAATTAAATGTTCCTGCCATTGCAGGGATAACCAGCCAATTTGCATCAGCAGACTTGAGCTCTGCCTAGTAGGATATGTAAAAGCCTTTTTCATTTCTTCCCGTTACAGATAAAACCGGGCTGTGGGCTAGTCATAGAAGTGAGCTCTCAGGGCCACAACCATATGGTTTCGTATCTCTTTCTCGGTTCACGGATTCCTATTTCAGCAACACAAGCCATTCTAATTCCTTCAGAGCGTGGAAAAATCATTCCACGCTCTCTTCCCTCCAGGTCCAGATTGGACGGCATAGGAGTCAACGGAAAGAGCATGGGTCTTGAAGAACGATAGCCCTGGGAGTCCAGCCTCCCAAAGTCACGTAGCTCGTAAGTGGCAGCCCCAGGGATGGAGGCTGGCTCTAAGCCCAGACCCTTGGTGCTACACTGTGGCACTTCCTTCCAGCAGAGACTTCATCACAGTGAATGTTCGCTGTTTTCTCTCTGCCCTGCTCCACAGCCCCTTCAACTGTGAGCCACAGACAGTGCTAGTGGAAAGGTAGGGGGATGCACGGGTTGGTGGTGGGTGGGTAGGTGGAAGTGTATTGAACAGATGGGTGGGTGGCAATGATGAATGGAAATATGGGAGTGGATGGATGAATGGATAGGCAGAAGGGTGATGGGTGGATGGATAGTAGATGAATAGGAGATAGATGGGAGGGGGGTGGATGGGGAAATGGGGGTAAATCAGGAGATCGACAGATCAGTGTATAGTGAATGGATGAAATGGATGGATGACTAGGTAGATAATTAGGTGGATGGGGGGATGATCAATGGATGAGGCAGATGGATGGGTGTTGGGTGTGTATATGGGAGGTGGGTGGCTGGGTGGTAAATCGGTAAGGGTGTGAGGGGTGAACAGGTGAGGAGGGATGAATAGGTGGGGTTGGGGGTGGGACAGATGGGTGGACATAATGGAAGTGGATGGATGGATGGATGAAGGTGATGGACGGATTGGTGATGGATTTGGATGGGGGGGACGACGGACGGACGAACGACGGAAGGCCGGATGACGGAAGGTGGATGACGGACGGGGCAGATGGATGGATGGGGGATGGATGGATGGATGAACAGATGGAAGGGTGGATGGATGGAAGGGTGGATGGATGGGGGATGGATGGATGGACGGATGGGGTAGGTGAATAGGCAGATGAGTAAATAAGTGGATGAATATATGGATCGGTGGGTGGAAAATGGATGGATTTTCCTGGGTGGGTGGAGAATGGATGATGAATGTTGGTGGGTGAGGGGCATTGCAGATGTAGTTGGAAGAATGCAGGCTTTGGTGTCTCCCGGAACTCGAGTAGAATCCCAGCTCCACAGGCTCTAGGTGGATGGGGGGATGCCCAGAGAAGGGTCCCTCTTCCTTGATTCGGCCACCTTGGTTCACAATGAATCTGATGGTAGGTTGCCAGGGGCACGCATGACCCGTACTTCATTCAGTTAGTGCTGTAGGGTCCGGTACTCACGGTCACAGTATTTGATGTATGACGCTCCACAGAAGAAGGTGGACTTGAAGCTGCTGGTTCTACTCGTGAAACAACTCTGGCCAAAAGAAGGGGCCAGAGTGCCTAAACCATCAGCTCCAGAGAGGATGCTGGTCCACACAGCAGTGTTCTGTTTGTTCTATTTCTGTGCCTTACCTCACTCCTGTCCCTTCATTTCAGAACCCCTGCCTCCCTCCCGCTACCCCCATTCCATACAAATCCTTAAAGCCCAGCTCAAATGCTGCCTCCTACAGGAAACCTTCCCTGCCCCAACAAGATTTCCAAATCCACCTCTCCCTCATCTGCTCCATTCTTTATTATGCAACTTTTGAAGCTATATTTTGTGTTATAATTAGAGAAGGACTGGGGTGTAGAGACAGCAATGCTACCTCTGCTGTGTTTGAACATTTAACAGAAAGTGGTAATGGGATTCGTGTTTATCTTGTGATACACCCAGAGAATTACATGGTATTATAGTTATGAACCAAAGAGGAACGTCCTGCTTTGGAAGTGCAGGCATCTGCCATTTAGGTTCTTAGCCATTTGAGTTTTCGACTTTTCCCTAGTTTTTATCTGATTTTCTTTCCAGGAGTGCCTGAGAGAGTCCCTTAAAACAAAGGAGAGGAAAGAGAAGGGACAGGGGAGGAAGGTTCCCGGGAAGTTCCCAGCCCTGCCCAGGAAGTCTGACCACCCCCTCTCCTCATCCTAGAAAGACTCTCCCTGCCCCACCCACTTTGTCCTCTAGACCCCAGGCCGCCCTCTGGGTGCTGACGCCTCCTTCAATAGGATGATGACTGCGAGCCCTAACCATCCTTCCCAGGTGTGCTAGCTGGACAGCTGCGAGCCACAGGGGCACAGGGACCGCACACCTGCTCCTCGGCCCTGCGGGTGGCCCAAGGGTAGGAGGCAGTGGCCACCGAGTTTCCCGTCTTAAAAATACTGTGTTGTTGCTGGTACTTCAGCATTACCTGAAGAGCTCACTCCAGCCCTCACATTGTTGCAGACACTAGAAGACCCCACCAAGCATGCGTGCGCGCGCACACACACACACACACACACACACACACTGTGACCTGTCAAGGCCATGACTGTGTGGTAGTCACGTGCATGTTTGCCGAGTGAAGTGGCTGTCGTTTACATCTTTCATAGGTCCACACTCTGCTGGACGGAAGCTACTAATGTTAAAAAGTAAATTCAGTCTGAAACCTGCGTCCTTCAGAACAAGGAGAATTGTGGCAATATGGGGCACCTGGGTGGCTCAGTCAGTTAAGCGTCCGACTTCAGCTCAGGTCATGAACTCGCAGTTCGGGAGTCCGAGCCCCACATCGGGCTCTGTACTGACAGCTCAGAGCCTGGAGCCTGCCTCGGATTCTGTGTGTGTCTCTCTCTGCCCCTCCCCCGCTCGCACTCTGTCTCTCTCTCTCTCTCTCTCAAAAATAAATAAACATTTAAAAAAAATTTAGAGGCACCGGGTGGCTCAGTCGGTTGAGCGACTGACTTTGACTCAGGTCATGAACTCGTGGTTCACGAGCTCGAGCCCCACATCGGGCTCTGTGCTGACAGCTCAGAGCCTGGAGCCTGCCTCGGATTCTGTGTCTCCCTCTTTCTCTGCCCCTCCCCTGCTTGCACTCTGTCTCTCTCACTCTCAAAAAAGAAATAAACATTAAAAAAATATTTTTTAAAAAATTTAAAAAGAGAATTGTGGCAATATTATTATTTCCAGCCCCATAGTGGATATTTCACACACATGCTGATTCCCTTAGCCTCCTGCCAAGTGAATGGGATAATCCCAGGTTTAGAGGGAAACCGAGGCCCAGAAGAAGACAGCAGCTTGACCCACGGTGCCCAACTAGCAAGTGCTGAGAGCTGTGTTCTTCCTGGTCTCAGACTTCTCCCTCCCTCCCTCCCTCCCTGAAGGTCCCCATTTTATTTTTTGCCTGCACCATGCACGCGGTGACAGTTCTAGGATCATGCGTGAACGTGAACTTGCAGGTCACAAAGAGAAGGATGTTGACGTCTTAGATGCTGTGGAGGGCGACCAGGTGGCCAGCTGTGAAGAAATGCAGGGCTGAGACTCACGCCCCCTTAACAGTTTGTCGTGGGCCATTTTGTAAGGCTGGGTGCTCATCTGTTTGGATATGTATTTGGGGTATAAGTTGATTAGTGGCCATTGCCCGTTTAGATGGTAAACTCCGAGAGGACAGACAAGAGGACTACTTTGCTGGCCAGGGTCTCCCCTGCTCCCCTGCATGGTGGCTGATACATCGGTGGGCATTCGATCACAGGCGTGAATGAATGATGCGCGGGGGCTCATCACCGACACCGACGGTGTGAGCTTTGCAAATCGCATCCATGATCTCCCGCAGACTTCGCAGGGAGTCATAAGGCAGGAATCATTATCCCCATTTTCCGGAGATAGGGTAACTGAGGCTCTGTGTGTTAAGTATCTCACCGGAGTGCACCCGACCCAGGCTTCGATCCCAGGCCCGCCTGGGCTCCAGGACGCCACACTCTGGGCCCGTAGCAGCTGTGCCTCCCAAGCCAGGGGACGGCGTGGGCGAGGGCTTCCCAGTTGCCCGGTTTGTCCAAACGCGTCTCCCGGACCTCCCGCCACCCTCCGTTCTATGCCACCAACTCAGGTCTGTGCTGTATTCATTTGCAGGCTGAGGAGGCAGCAGGGGCAGACCAGCCAGCTCTTGGACACAGAGGGCCGAGCTGGGAGCCAGACCCAGGGCAAGCTCCAGGATGGCTGCAACAACAACATCCTGGGCCACGCCTGCTCCCGGGGCTGCAGCAGCTAAGCCACCGCCTGCGGCCGCCTGACGGGACTGTGCGCATTCCCGTCCTGCCCACCGGAAGCCCCTCTCTGTGCCACGATGGTCCCTATCTCACTCCTGGTAACACCAGATGCAGAGACAGCCCTGGGCTTGGAGCTGGGAAGCCCGGGTTCTGGTCGCAGGTGCCTGACGGATTCTCTGCGTGACTTCGGACAACCTTGCCCTTCCTGTGCCTCAGTTTTCTGCATCTGCCAAAGGGGTTAAAACAGCTGTCTGTCCCACTTCTACAAGGTTATTGGGAGAAACCAAATAGGTAGGAGACATGCAAAATCTGTGACATTAATGAAATTGTTTACACAGGCAAAATAGAACCTTGATATTTGAAGTCCACTCCCATCCCACAAGGCAACTAGGCACCCCCTCCATTCCCACGATTCCCACATCCTGGAGCAAAACCGGAAGTGTCTTCATTTGCCGCCTCTGGGAGGCCAGTCTTTCTGACCCTCTAAGGTGGCGTGGCCGCGCACCAGCCTGGTCCCCTAGGTCCTGATGCTACAGGTGCATGTCTGCCCTTCTTCACAGAAGACCGCCTCCCACCTGTAATCCCAGCAGGTCCCCCCCCCCACACCCCGCACTGGCGTGGCAGGTGGATGCCCTTCAGAAGGTCAAGTCACTGACCACCATTTTGAGAGTTCCTCCCAAACCCAGTCCCACCGCCAAATTCTGAGTCCCCGTCCCCTTTCTGGGCGTCTTTCCTGTGAAGGGTGGGAAGTGGCCTCCTCAGCATTGTCTTAAAGAGGGTCCCCAAGTGCCACGGATGAGGTGGCTCTGTATTGAGGAACAAAGAAGCGTGGGTCACCAAGAAGTTGAGTCTAGGAGGACGGTGGAGTCGCACAAGGAACAAACGGCGGTGGGACCTGTGCGGGCAGCACTCTGCCCTCTGGATGGGGAGACGCCGTAGCGCCGGGGACCGAGCTTCCGCGCGGCGTCAGGCTCGTGCTCGGAACCCAGCCCTGCTGTTTACCAACCGGAAGACCTTAGGCAAACGGCATAATCGCTTCAGTGTCGTTTCCTTGTTTCAGAGCGGCGGTGATGAAGCCAGCCTTGCAGGGTGGTTACGGGAGTCGGTGGCATTCTGCGTGTCCCGTGCCCAGCACACGGCACCCACTGCATGGTAGGCACTTTGTGCCCGCGTCACCGTCATCGTTTGCAGAGACTTCCCTACGCCACTCGTTTGGCAGGTCACTTTCCACAGAAACGAGTCCGGTGGTTTGGCTTCCTTGAGCTTTTCTTCCCGGAGTCTTGGAACTCCGTCCATCCCTGTCGACGTTCCGCTGTGGTTTTAGTTTTCCTTCCAACTTCCGGTTTTTACTTTTTACATCATCAGTTCACCCTCGGGGCCGTCCGTGCCATCTCTCCGAAATCTTAAGAGACATTTTAACGGAAGGTGTGGTTTTCTGTCTTTAACCTTCAAAAAGGAGATGCTCCTAAGAGTCCTCCTTTCAGCCAAGCCTACTCCTCGATTCCGTTGCCCACGTCAGTCTGCTTGTCTTGCGCACTCGTCATTCTCCGTCCCCCACCGGCACTGTCCTGTTCCCTCCAGGCAATCGCAGGGCTGCTTCTCTCTTCACTGTGACCCGGGCAGCACTTAGGATTTCTTGCTGGGCTGAGTTCATGAATTAGGGGGCAGGAGCTAGAAGTAAGCCCAAGAGACACCAGATTTCCTGGCTGTGTTTAAGTTGATGTTGTTTCTTGTTCAGAATAAACTATTTCTTGGGCATTCCTTCTTGCGACGTTGTTCTTGTTCGGGGTTGGGTGGGGAGGGGCCGTGTTCCTCTTAGAGCCAAAAGGCTCTAGTTGAATTGGAAACATAGAGACGGGGGGGGGGGGGGGGGGGGGGGGAGGACACCAAGTTGGTAATGTGTTTACTTGACTCCCAATAAAATCAAACTCGATCCCAATTTGTATTATTATCATCGTTATTACTCTCATCATCACCATCATTATTTTACACTATAAAGGTGCAATCCGTTTATTAGAGAAAAAATACAGAAAGTTTTCCACCTAGAGCAAAAAAACTCTTAAAATTTCAAATTACACAGCTCAAACCTCTATACAGCACATGTGCGGGTGCTGATAAACCATGTACTCTAAAGCACAGACTTCTGGATTTCCCGCCTCCCTGCTTTTGCCCACCCCGTTGTCCCTGCCTGGGATGCCTTTCAACTCCCACACCCGCACATCAAAATACATGCCTCTCCGGGGTCAATTCCACCCCTTCCACGATGGCTTCTGGTCTCCTGACCACACTGACTAACCCGAGCCAGACATGACCTTTTCCACGTGCTTGCTCACGCACTTTCACTTTCCCTTGGCTCTGACGGCCATTAATTGCACAGTAAGGCGACTTTTGCCCATGGCTCATCCTCCTTCAAGCCGAGAGAGGCCAAGACCTATTCACGGCTGTGTCTGTGTCTCAGCCTCCATATTCCAGGCCCAACTCTGCTGGCTCATAAGAGGTAATCAGTAATTTTGGAATGAATGAGATGAGAGCAAGCCCAACGCTAAGTGGGGTGGGGTGGGGTGGGTGAAGCTTGCTTTGGGCATCCTCCTGCCTGCCATCTGGCCCCACTGTACTTCCTGGGTATTTTTCTCTCCACTCTCCAGTGCACTCCCAGGGGCTGCCCTTCTCCACCCTCCACCCAGTGGAGTACGCAGTCCCTACCCACCCCCTCAGAGCCATCTCCCCTGAGTTCCAAGTTCCAAAAGACTCCTCCCTTCTCCCTCATGCAAACACCCATTCCCAAGGAGTAGCCCAGCCCAATACTGCTGAGCAAGCAATCTGATCAGAGAAATTTGCACCGAAGCAAGAATTTGCAGGAGGATCGTGATATGCAATCTGGGCATGATAGGACAAACTGGAGACGGGTGGTGGCAACAGGGTTTCCTTGCCTCCATGGAAATACCTCGTAGGCTTCTTGTGCCAGTGAGTAAAAATGGTGCATATTTAGAGTAATAGTAAAGCCAAAGCTGGATGGTGTGAATCCCTTCCTGTTCACTGGCAGATATTACAGTATCTTGTCCCAAACCCTCTTTCCCACGCCAGGTTCTGAAACCATCAGGGCGGGCTGTGCTCTGCCGGCCCCCAGCACCGAACTGCCTTTCAGCAGGTTCTCAATGGATGTGGAAGGAGTGCAGACGCTTCCACCTCGGCGCCCAGCTCTGGCCACGTTTAGCAAACGCCTATCACTCTGATGATTCAGCCCATGCGCTGTGTCTCTCACCATTTCCTCTTCCTACCGGGAGCATGAAATCATGATGAGGCCTCTCTCGTGTTTAATTACTGACTGTCAACAAAACACACACAGCTTTTTCTTCCTGGGTAAGCACGGACAAACATGATTAATGGATTTCCCTCTCAGTGTCTCTGCACCTCGTGTTGATTCCACGTTCCCCAAACACACACTTTATAATCCTTTCCTCTCCGCAGCGAGAGTGACACATTACACGCAGACTCTTCCCAGGCGTCAAGGCCGCCATTTTGTATTGTCCTGATTCTTGGAAGCTATTTGAACAACCATGTTCTATACTTAATGGCATTTCCTAATAGAAATTCATTTCACAGGTCACATTTAGCCAACTCTTAACAATTAAGGGTGAGAGTGGGGCGCTCTCAGATGATGTTCTGGGCAGGGTGAGAAATACCTGAATCCTGTTGTGCTGACAGCCCTTCGCCATGTCCCCAAACCCCATTATAACAGGTTCTTAAAGGAGCTCATGAAACAATAGCAAAATAGGCATCAGTGAACAAGCGTCCCTATCAACACCAAAGCCCCAGTGCAGAGCCCTGTGAGAAGCTCAAGTTGAAGCAAGAAGACCAGGATTAGGGTCTTAGCAAGACCCTTGACTCTTCTCAAATTTTGACCTTGGCACCATCCAATTCAAGGACGCCAAGCACAGCAGCTCCAGCCATTAGTAATAGTGGCCCCATCAGTGACTCAGATTCTAACCATTCAGAAGAGAAATTCCTCCTTCTTTGTGGGGGAAATGGGCAGGCTTTGATCACAGCCACACCTAACAGAGGAGAGTATGTGAAAATCACCTTTGGACAGTCCTACTCTATTGGAGACCAAAATCAAATAAGCCCAAGTTTTACGCACTAGCCTCCTCCACATCTCTTTTGATAGAATTTCCCCACTCTCACCTACTTCCCACTCTTTGAGGTCGCAACCAGAATGTAATGGCGGACCTGCTTTCTTGTATTATGCTTTATGTCTATACCTCTTGAAGAATTAGTTCCATGTCCTATAGGTTGTTGCTAAGGTCTTTTTTGCCAAGTCCCAAAGGCATCAAAGAAATCTGGTCACCTCCCAAGAAGAGCAAGTAATTCAATATGGCTTAAGCAGGAAATTACATTGCCACAATAAGTGATTTCCTCTTTCCAACCACTTTTAATCCACTGGGCGGTTGCCACAGTGACTGGTAATGATTCAGCTATAGGCTACTTCGTCAGTCTGGGTCCCAGAGAGGAGACATGTAGCAGCACGGCAGTCCACCCGTGATGGATGTGTGCTATGTGTAGGTCTTTGCTGTTTGAAGCCACTGAGATTTGGGGGATATTTGTTACTGCCACACAAGCTAGTCTATTCTGACTGGTTCGGTGCTATCGCCTCTCATCAGTCCTGGTCTCAGAACAATGATTATCGAGAACAGAGACCCAGAAGCTCAAGGAAAAGCAGATTTGTCAGAAGGACCAGGAGGAATCCTACTGATGCCATCTGGAGCACTTCAGATGCCCTCGTGGGAACTGGGGGGTCAGCCGGCAGCCACAGTTGCCACCTTGCTCTCTGAAGCTGCAAGAGCTCCCCCCTCAGCCCCACCTTCACATACGCATGCTGTGCTCTTGCCCTGCTCTGCACACTTGCTTTTCCAGCCGTTTCATCACCCTGCGCAGCTCCCAAGATTCATCATCTCACAGTTTCGGAGCCTATGGCCACCTGTCTGAATCCTGTGTATCCCTTGGT